CGGTCTAGAGCTGGTACTGGCATCGCCCGTTACTCAGACTACCACCCGACAACACGCCGCGTGAGCGACCACTGCGACCACCGTCACCTCTAGCTCCAGGCCACCTGGGCAAGAGAAGGCCCACCCTCCGCTGCGCTGCTGCTGCTGCTACTGCTGCTGCTGCTGGTCCAACTGCGGAGCCTGCTGCTGCTGCTGGGGCGGCTGCTCCGGGGCACCAGTCCCAGCCCCCTCGTCAGTACTACAAGTGGGCGAGCCACCTCCACTACCGGCACCACTCCCTCCTCCGCTACCTCCGCCGCGCCTTGCATTGGGGCAGCGACCCTTACCTCGACGAAACTGCACTGCGGCGGCTGTCTCCACAGCCGAAGCTGTCTCAGCAGCCGCAGCAGAACCGTCGGAGTAAGAGCATTGAGCAGGGGCGTAGCCCTGAAAGATAGAGACTGGCACGGTACCACTAGACTGGGCGATAAAGCGCTGACGAATCTCTATGGTAGACAGGGTGTCGACAAAGTCAGTAAGGGTGAGGTCAGCGGGTGGAGACTAAGGAAGAGATCACGGGCGGTAGCAAGACGGTTAGGGAGGCGGGTGGCAAGCAGGTAGAGGGTAGAGCAGATGGGGGGCTGAAACACACGAAGCTGAGCCTCAGTGCAGGCAGCGCGCCAGGTCGTGTTTAGCGTGCGCAGGTGGGCGGCTAGGTCAACGACAGTGGGGAAAGATGCAAGGTCAAGAAAGAGCATGGGCAAGATCAGGCAAACTACAGAGGCAGAGGGCGGGGTGGAATAGCACGCAACAACAACCTCTAGTAACTCCTGCGCAGTCCTGACAGACCTAAAGCAGGGGCGCTCGGACAGGGGAAGTGCATGACTAATCGCAAGCTGTGCGACAGCGTCACGCGGCAACCAGACAGCACGGGCAAGGGCAGCAGCTGCAGCGGACTCACGATCAGCAGAGGTGGGGTCAGCGGGGAGGGCAGTAGGGGGGTCCGGGGAGGTGAGCGTACCGTCGATGTGGACGGCCAGGGAGTGGCCGTCCTGCCGCTGACCAGTTAGGTGTCGCTGGAGGTTGATGAGCCACGAGTCGAACTCAATCAGCTGCCCCTCAGCATCAAAACGCAGGACCGAGTCCGCCATCATGGTTGCAGCAGCAAGAGAAAGACAGTACTGGGCAGGAGAGCGCGGCGGAAAGCGGTGATGTGTGGTGCAGAATGGTACTGTACAGTACAGTGGGGTGCAGTGCGGTGCAGGGCGATGCAGTGCGGTGCAGATCGGTGCAGTGTGGTGCAGAGCGGTGCCGAGCGGTGCAGCGCGGTGCAGAGGAGCCAAGGACGGCGACGAGGCGTCTAGAAGACGGGGCCGCGGGCGGCAAAGAGGCGGGGCCGGCATGGAGACGGGGCCGGCATGGAGATGGGGCCGGCTAGGCGACGAGGCCGGCTAGGTGACGGGGCTGCGGGGCTGCTAGGGGATGGGGCCGCTAGGTGATGGGCCGAGGGGCGACGAGGCGGCTAGGACCTAGGGAGGGAAGCGCTAGGGGGGGGGGGGGGTCTACCTACTCATGATACCATGTTCAAGTGAAAGAATGACTTGAACAAGGCATACAGGGGAATATAACCTAATGGGTTGTACTCCCTAAGGCACAACCCTATATAGTCTAGAGAAACATACAATATATGTTTGACACTATCGTCCAGATCGCAACGCGCTCAGCAACAAGCTCCCATCGCCGCAACCTAAATTAGGAGCTCCTAGATAGCCCATGCAGCAAACACTCTCTGGGTTTTCTGGCTTCTCTCTTTTTGTGATTCCTGAAGTGCATACGTGGTATTTACAAGGGTTTTGCTCGTTGCTTGCACTTGTATGGGTTCTACCTTCAAGCGAATGCCATGCTCCTTTGCGACGCAAGCAAGAATGTTTTGGGGCTGTACACTTGGTGCGCAGATATTGCAGGGACGTAGTGGCATTCTTACATAGATTCATGTCGAAGGTTCAAATGTATGCAAACATTGAAAATTCGCTACGGATTGGCTCGTGTCAAGAGTTCTAGGTGGACAATTTCCCCTCACAACTGTACGCGTCATGGCGAGTCCCTCAGAAGCGAGGATGGATTCATCTGAACACCAGATAGATGCCATTGTGTCAATACGTGGCAGTAACTTGTGTGATGACACCTTGTGTAAATCGTAGAGTGCTTGTAGAAAAAAACTCTTGGATTAAAAAATAGATGGTAACCGGTTTCGGCTTGAAGCCTTCTCTGGACCACAGAGTTCTAAAAAAAACAAGCACTACTTATACGCCGAAAAGATGTCGCCCAAGATTCGCCTCGCGCGGGAAAACCGTCGCGGGGAAAATGGTAAGTACAGATACAGATTCATCGGCTTCTGAAACAGCTGAAACAGCTTTTGGACGTCCAAAACCCTGGAGTTCGTGAAACGTTCTCCTTTGAAGAAAGTAACGTCCAGGAAATCCATCGATGTTTCAGACAACACCCATGTCAGGCGAATTGAAGGATGGAGCGTGTCGAAACGCGCTTTTAGCCGTTGAAAATCTTCCTTAGACCCATCCCACAAAATCAGACCGTCATCGATGAAACGGAGGTGTAGAGCGGGGGAAGAAGGGATCGAACGGTGCAGCTGAATATCCAAGAAACTCATGAATCGGACCGAGAAGCAAACTGCGACTGAAGTTCCCATAGCGGTTCCGTGGATTTGGCGGAAAAATCTCCCGTTGAAAGAAACATAGCTGTTAAACATCACCCACTTCAGCAGGCGAATAATCAGTGGAGCTAAAGGATGTCTAACCCTTTGAATAAAATAGGAAACTGCATCAATCCCATCGAGCAGGGGAATCGACGGGTATAAAGATTCCACGTCGTAGGATGCGAGAAGAAGATTGTTAGAAAAACGTCGTTGCTCAAGCTGTAGTACCGAACTTTGTGAGTCTTTGATATAAGTGGACTGCTGTAGTACCAAAGGCCGAAGTACTGCATCCAGCCAGCGTGAAACATTCAACGTCACCCAGGAATGACAGGCCGCAATAGGACGAAGCCACGGTTGGTAACTCTGCAGCGCAGCTGACTCTCGGTCTTCCTCCCGAAGAGGATCAGCGCGTATGCGTGGACATCGTCCACTACTGCTGCTTCATTTTTCCGCGGCCGGAACCTCCCCCGTTTTTTGCCGGTGCAGAATTGCGCGGCTGCTAACGAGAGGCGTTACGTCCCGCTAACTTTGCGAAGGAGCGTCCCATAGTCTGGGTCGCATGCGTCGTCGCGTTGTCAGCGTTCTTCCCGGGACCAGCATTATTCTTCTTCTTCATGTTCCCTTTGCTGTTGCTGTTGCTGTTGCCGTTGCTGTTGCCTTTTCCCTTCCGGGGCTGGTTCTTCTTCTTAGCGGCAGCGCTACGGTTGACATTAAAACCCCCCTGATTCTTCTTTCCGCGTTTACCATACTGCTGCTTCTTCTTGCCGTCAGACCGTTTGGACAAAGCCTTTTCGACTTCTTGCTTAGCGATCTTCCGAACGGAATCGTCGACGGGGAGATTCTCTGCTTCCTCCACTGCGGCAGCCTTCTTTTCGTCGACTTCTTTCTTCTTCTCCTTAAGATGCACTTCGGAGAGGCTAGCGTCCATGACAAAAATAGACATCGATTCCTTCAATTCAGCGATCACCCGATCCTTGAAATAGTTCAGGTGCTTCGTCAGCTTTGAATTTTTGGTGCCGATGTCGGTCTTCTTAGCCAGATTAATGTAGCTCGTAATCTGATCCTGCAGCCGCTGAAAAACGGCAACTGCTTCGTTACGAGCTTCATCGGCGGCTTTCTTTTTCATGGAGATAAGAATGTCTTGGGCTGCTTTGCAGTACGTATCACAAGCCACGACCAGGTCCTTGTCAGCCTCCTGACGGAGTTCTTCAGAGTTGCAAATGAAACCAAAAGGTTTGATCCTGATGCTGTGAGGAATAATCCCGTTGGTCTTCTGCTCAGCCATGAAGATATATTGCTTGTGCAAAGTCCGGTACTTCAAAAAACTCTTCTTAAAGTCCTCAGCGGCTTGATTTTTAAAGTCATTGAGACAAGAAGGAGTCGCCTGCTTGTCAAGAAAATCGTTATGAAGATCACCAAGAAAATCGAAGGAGTCAGTCATGACAACGTCATGAATCTCGCGAACAGGATCTTGCATCGGCGCAGCCATGATCGCAGGTTCAATCGCAGGCCTGGTGGCAGGCTCAGGAGAAGATCGAACTGAAGGAGCGTCGACTGTCACTAGAAGAGGTTCGAGAGGAAAATCCCGAGCTCTCTTCTTGTTGGAGCGAGAAATTGGAGACTCTGGTAAATCTTCGAAATCCACCAGCTCTTTATCCTTACGAAGACGCCTCGGGCTTTGAATCCCCGAGATTCGTGCGGATCGACGGAACTAGTTAGACTTGGTGATATTGGTGTTGGTGTCAGTGTCGGTAGCATTGGTAGCATTGAATTGGTAGTTGGCCATCGTAGTAGTATCAGGTTTGAGTCCAATTGAACACCAGATAGGTGCCATTGTGTCAATACGTGGCAGCAACTTGTGTGATGACACCTTGTGTAAATCGTAGAGTGCTTGTAGAAAAAAACTCTTGGATTAAAAAATAGGTGGTAACCGGTTTGCCTTCTTCAGACCACAGAGTTCTAAAGAAAACAAGCACTACATATACGCCGAAAAGATGTCGCCCAAGATTCGCCTCGCGCGGGAAAACCGTCGCGGGGAAAATGGGGACGCAAAAAACGAAATAAGCACAAACAGTAAAACTCTACTGTAGATTAGCACTTATGAGCAGAAACTAAAAAGCTTCCGATTCTCTTCGGCAGCCTCCACGCGATAATAGCTCTCCTTGAAGCGAAAGTGTCGTGTGACAAAGTAACGAGGTGACTTTTGAGTCGACTCAAAAGTCACCTCGTCATGGCGAGTCCCTCAGAAGCGAGGATGGATTCATCTGCAACATGGATCCCTCTGAAGGGAACAACACACAAGCAGCCTAGTCCCAACAAATACTTCGCGTACGAGCGCGCGACGCACATTTTCCCCCACCACTCCAGACCGTCAGGCTGTGCGTCTTTCTAGGCTGGGTGTTTGGGCGCGACGCGCCTTTTCTTCTGTTTTTCCAGCCTTGTCCGGTGGTAACTGCAGCCACCGCCCGTGCACCCGTCCCGCGGTGGTGGCAGTGCGTATACAGTTGACAATCTGGAAATCCGACGTCTAGCACCATAGCCGTTTCATTTCATAATGGCTCTCGCGTTTGGCGTCGCGCTACGGCGAAACTCGGTACTGGCGTTTGTCTTGCTGCTCTGCAACTCCCATGCTACTGTAGCTCGCGGGATTCTGCCTCATACCTTGAGATTGGTTATTTCAACGGATAAGATGGATGATCGGGGAAATCCAACGGCTGAGACTCATCTGGCTGCAGATTCAGGCAAGGCAAGCGGAACGCTCTGAGATTCCGTTGCTTCCAGCAAATTCGGTCTTACTGTCCGATCGATGCCGCACTTGCTCGAGGATCTTCATTTGCTACTCTCTGTTTGGGGAGGGGGGGGAGGAATATTGATGCCATCCTCTCTATCCCAATGCTTTCTCCCCTCCTCCCAATGCCTTCTCCCCTCCTCCCAATGCTTTCTCCCCTCCTCCCAATGCTTTCTCCCCTCCTCCCAATGCTTTCACCTCTCCTCCCAATGCTTTCTCCCCTCCTCCCAATGCCTTGCCCGGATCCCTCACCAGATGAAGCAGCAGGCTGACACCTTGGAGCTGTTGACCGAATCGAACGGCTCCAGTGCATTCACGGGATTGGTCGTTTCAGTCAGGAGTAGCACAGGAGCCAGCGAGACAGAGGCAACCGAAGGCACTGTAGCAGATGTGCCTCTATCCAAAACTGTGACTGTACCCGGAACCGTGACTGTATTCGATAAGTGCACAGCAGAGCGAGCAGCAGCAGGATCAGCACCGCGAAGGAGAAGACTGTCAGGGTTTGAGACGTACGACATCCGGCGAGTGCGGGAGTGGGTGGTTGCACATAACAGCGTCAGAAAGCTTCACAACAAGCAAGACGTCGGCGCTAAGAGAGCCAGGTCTGTCATTGAGGCACAACAGCATGCCTCCGGAGGCTCCTCTCTCCCCCCTCTTCTCTGGGACCCTGCCTTGGCGCGCTTCGCTCAAGCGCACGCGGATTCGGTGGGTGCCAACGCGCAATGCCGCCCGGAAGCCAACGAGGCGGCGGGGGAGGCAGGGCTGGGGGAGGTGTATCTGTGGGGCGCGGTGGAGAAGGGGGAGGCGCTATTCATGGCTAAAGAGGCGGTTGAAGCGTGGGCGGAGCAGGTGAGATGAGACTAATCAGGTGAGATGAGACTAATCAGGTGAGATGAGACTAATCAGGTGAGATGAGACTAATAAGGTGAGATTGGGTACAAGGGGTAGGTGCTAGGTGGTGACAGAGGGGGGCCTGGGGGAGGTATACCTGTGGCGGCCGGTGAGGGAGGGAGGGGGGGCGAGCTGTTGTCTAGAAAGGCTGTTGAGGCGCGTGCGGAGCAGGTGAGAGTTGAGCGAAAGGGGAAGGGTAAAGGGGGGGAAAGGGTAAAGGGTCGGGGATGCATAGGTGACGGTGACCCACCTATGTCAGACATGGCATCCCCGACACGGTGACTTGTCTGTTTTTTTGCTTCGAATTGACTCACCTTTGATGTACACTCACATGACTTCACCCACAGTGTCCCCACGTTGTGTCGCATAGTGTCTTGTTGACCAATATTCATCAGTCTTCATCCATGTTGACAGACCGTATAGACCCCCAAAGCCCCCCATTGTCCCCTGTTGAACCCCATTGACCACCGTTGACCCCCGATGACCCGCCAGGCAAGCACTACAGCAGTGAGGAGTGTGGCGTATTCATCCAGTTTACATGTTGACCATATTGCATGCATCCAACCAATGTTGACCCTCCCCATTGACCCCTGTTGACCCCATGTTGACCCGCCAGGGCAAGCACTACAGCAGCAGCACAGGAGGGTGCGAGCCAGGGAAGGAATGTGGAGCCTTCATCCAGCTGACGTGGCGTGAGACAAGGAGAGTGGGATGTGGCGAGGTGCGTTGTTGTTGCATCCCCTCCTTTCCCCGCCCATCCCCCCCTCTCTCTCTTCTCCCTTGCACACATTTTTATTGCATGTGGAAGGGAGAGTCGAGAGAAGGTGATGTGTGAGTCGACTCAAAAGTAATCGGAAGAGAGCCAAGGAGGGGCAGGGAGCGTGGGGTGTGGAGACATGCGTTGCTTTCCTTTTTCACTGCATAAATCCACTTTTTCCGCTGAGTGGTTGGCGTATTCTTGCAGTCTTTGGACTCTTAGCAGTCTGTGCAGTCTGTGCAGTTGCCAATCTTCTGAATCCACCCCTGCCCTCCCCCATAGCGTCTGCACAGCTTCTCTGTCTTCCCTGCAAGCCAACTACCACCCATTCCTTGCGACTGCAGCAACTGCCAGCCGTTCTACATGTTGAGTGCGGTATGAAACTCCACACCATCCTCACCCCCCATTTCCCCCATCCCATTGCCAGGCTCTTTGTCCCTACAAGGGCAACTTCACCGGAGTGGCCCAGTTTTTTGTCTGCAACTACTACCCACCTGCTCAGCTTTCGATGCTAGAATAATAGTATTTTGCGTTTTCACTGGTTTGAACAAACGAATCGTAGCCTGAATATAGTAGTAATATTGTTCCCATAGGAATCTCCTTAATCCTTGGACTTTGGAGTGTACATATAGAATATCGTAAACCCTCCCGCAATTGCCATTTACACAACCCCTCCCCCCCTCCAATTTGAAAACCGGGGGGATGCTCTATATGGGGTACGCCCCACACCACCGGTCCTCACCCGAGCTTCGCAGTGAATTTTGCTTTGCATCAGTGCGCACCAGCCATGGCTATTCACGGGAACACAGTCAAGTCGAGTTAGAGTGTTAGAACTTACAAGTCACCTCTGCGTATTCACGGGTGTATTTCGAGTCGACTAAAAATTCGCGGGAACACAGACACAGTGGACTCGACTTCGAACTTACCTGTGTCACCTCTACGTTCTTAACCATGAGCGGCGCGCACGGGAAGAGGCCGCGAAGCACTTCCGCCGCTGCCTCTTGCGGAGCGGCGGCAGGCGGGGAGAACGACGCGGTGATTGCGCTCCCCGGGCGCTACGTGTCGAAGCGGGAGAGGCTGATGCTGGGCGGGCAGACAGAAAATAATATCGGCCACGGGAAGCTAGATGAGCACAATATAGGCGAAAGTGCAGAGCAGGGGCGCGTGCGTGGGGAAGCTCTTTTTAGTGCGCCTGACTGGTTAGAGCGAGCGGCCGATGATGGGGGTGTTGCTGCTGCTGAGCGGTTTGCTGTGCCGCGGCGCCTGATGTGCAGGTGGGTTTTAAGCCTGCGAGCTGTGTCTAATGACCCCCCCCCCTGTGCACGGGTCTCCAATAATCCCCCCTATTCCCCCCCCCTATTCCCCCCCCCTATTCCCCCCCCTATTCCCCCCCCCTATTCCCCCCCCCTATTCCCCCATATCCTTCTCAAACCCCGATCTTCCCCTCCCCCTCCTTCCCCCCCCCCCCCCCCCTCCCCCAACCTCCCCACTCCCTCACCTCTTCCCCTCCCTCCCCTGACCATCTTCCTGCGCACCCGTCATCCCTGCCCTCCCCCCTTCCTCCCCCCTCAGGTTCCGATCAGCCCTCTCTCTCCCCCCCTGCCACTTGTGTCGGGAGGTAGTCTGGTTTCGATAGACCGCCCCACTGTGCCCTCCTCACCGCCCCTGCTCTCCCCTCCATCCCCGCTCTCCCTTCTCTCCCATTTAGCAGGATCTCATCGGCCCACTCCCGCCCTGCCACGTGTGTTAGGTGGTCCCCGCACTATGGTCATCTGCTGACGTCAGCAGGGATGGATGGGGCAGTCAAAATTTGGAGCCCATTTCAAGAGAGGCCCGAGAAACAGGCAGATGCCTCAAAAACTTCTCCCATCTGCCCGGTTAGGGTATTTCACGGTCACCGGGCAGCAGTGAAAGACACGTCGTGGACGAACGATGCTGCCCAGCTCCTGACAGCCAGCCTGGACGCTACAGTACGGGTTGCTGACGTGGAATCAGGTGCTACAGTTGCAGAGGTATGCCAGGGTGGCGCCATGTCAGTTTGCCGCCCGGATCCGTCCAACCCTCAGATATTTGCTACAGGAGGGGATGCCAGGGTGGGCAGTGTGAGATTCTGGGATCTGCGAATGCTGGGAGGGGCGGATGCGGGTGCTGGGAGTGACAGTAACAAGAGTGGTTGTAACGAGAGTGATAGTAACAAGGGTGATGGTAACGAGAGTGACAGTAACAAGGGTGATGGTAACGGGATATCAAGTGGAGGCAGAATGTGTAACCACAGCAGCAGCGCAGCAGCTGCATCGTCTGAGCCGTCCAGGCCTGTGCTGGAGTTCCCAATGGACGGTGGAGATCTTCTGGATCTTGCCTTCGATCCATCTGGGTCGTTCGTGGTGACATCAGCAGATTGCACGCGGGTACGAGGCCTCGACAAGGGCCTAAGAGTGTGGGATGTGAGGAAGAGTGTATCGGTATCAAATCAGATCTACATGGAAGGATACACGTGTCCGTCTGTTGCCGTCCACCCATCCGGATCGCACTTCATCGCTCAATCCAATGGCAGCTACATCGCGATATTTTCATGTACAGCTCCTTATAAGCTGAATAAATATAAGAGGTTTGAGGGGGGGCATGAAGTTGGGGGTTTTGGGGTAAGTTGTGTCTTTTGTAACGAGGGCAGTGTAGTTGTGTCCGGTTCGGCTGATGGCAAGGTAGTGTACTATGATTGGAAAAACGGATCTTGTTTTGGGGAAGTAGTGGCTCATGAAGGGGTGTGTACTGTAGCTGTTGCACATCCCGCTCTTCCAAGTGTAGTTGCAACATGCGGTTGGGATGGGGACGTGTGCATTTGGACAGCTAAGAGGTTGTAAGCATTGTGAGCATTGTAAGGTGTCTTATCTTCCCATAGTGGATTCCCTGCCAGCGTCAGTCACGCTGGCATGTGCTACGCCTACGTTCACTGCCCTGAAAGCACCAACCAACCATTTCTGTCGTTCTCAAGGCCCAGCCTGCTGTAAATCACGGCCTAGAGAACTTAGGCAGCTGGAGCCTTGTTCCATGCCCGCCCGGCCTAGAGACTGCCCCTGCGTGGAGTGCCTAGAGCTTGAAAGTTGCGCGCAGGTGTTGCAGGGTTGTGCGGATGGGGGGATCAGAAGCCGCAAGAGCCTTGTCCCAGAGGGTAGAGAGACCTGAGAGGCAGGAGCAGGAGGAATGGAGGGAGAGGGAAAGGGTGAGAGAGGGGGGGCAGTGAGGGGCAGAGGAGAGGGGGGGCAGTGAGAGGGGGAGGTAAGAGAGCAAGGGCGATTCCCAGAGTTTGGAAAAAATGGAAATACCTGATGGGCAGAAGCGCAAGACAAAGCGAGGGTGAGATGGCGGGAGATTCGCGACATGGGCATTCTCTCTATAAAAAATCTATGCGGGAGGAGTCTATTTTTGAGGCGCCTCAAAAAGAGATTCGCATCATGGGCATGATCAGAAGAAAGAAAAGACCAGTATCAGAAGCGAAGCAGGTACCGGTATATGGGCAAGCTCACCTCACAGTGCTTATAAAACCCCGCAGCGCTTATCTATGGGATAAAAATGCATGTTGCAAGGGATGTGCATGTTATAAGCACTGTGAGGCGCTTATAAAATGAGTGTTACAAGGGTGGAGAACGAGGAGCAGCAGGGAGCATTCTGAGGCGCCTCTAAGCCTGCCTTACCAGCTCACAGAAGTCACAGTACAGCACTTATCGAACTCTTCAGTCAACTCAAAGCGACTTTTGAGTCGACAAAAAAGTCGCCCTATCAGCTCACAGTAGTCAAAGCACAGCACTTATCGAACTCACGTTGCTTGTCGCCGGGGGGCATGCAGACCAGGAGGATAGAGAAGCGAGGCACGGAGGGGAAGGCGGAGAGGAGAGCCACTGCTGCTGAAGCATCAGTGCTGGGGGGAGGGAGGGTGGGGAGGGGAAGAGAAGGAAGAGAGGAGCATGAGGAGAGCATAGGCACTGCAGCAGAGAGCATAGGCACTGCAGCAGAGAGCACAGGCACTGCAGCAGAGAGCATAGGCACTGCAGCAGAGAGCATAGGCACTGCAGCAGAGAGCATAGGCACTGCAGCAGAGAGCATAGGCACTGCTGCAGAGAGCACAGGCACTGCAGCAGAGAGCATAGGCACTGCAGCAGAGAGCACAGGCACTGCAGCAGAGAGCACCGGCACTGCAGCAGAGAGCATAGGCACTGCAGCAGAGAGCACAGGCACTGTGACTAGGAGGACATCAGTGCTGGGGGGAAGAGAGGGTGGGGAAGGGAAGGTAACAGAATAGAGGAACATGAGCATAGGTGTGTGTGTGTGTGTGTGTGTGTGAGGGGGGGAAGGAGGGAGAGAGGTGGGGGTGGGGGGTTGGACATTACCTTAAGAGCGTTGAGAGAGTAATGGTGAGCACAGCAGCAAGGAGAGGCGGGGAGAGGGAGTCCTTGAAGATGGTCGAGAGGCGGCCAGCGGGGAGGGACTGCAGAAACAAAGGGGCGGAAGTGGCCAAGGAACGAAGGGGGGCACAAGGGGCGAGCGGGTGAGTGGGTGAGCGGGTGAGTGGGCGAGCAGAGCAGCGGGGAGAGGCAGCAAAAGGGAATCCTTGAAGATTGTGGAGAGGCGGGGAGGAGGCACTGACGCTACCTTGGCACGTTGGAGACGCCTTAGAGCCTTAGAGCCTTAGAGCACAGCCTGTACCAATCCTTACTCGCCCTCACCAACGCAGCTTGAGCGCCCTCACTCCCCTGCAACCGCCTCCACCCCTTCTCAAACTCCAGTGCTGACTGGGGAGGGGCAGTAGACCTCCCGTAACATGCTTGCCATGTCACAGCCACTATAGAACGTTGTCCACTCGCCTCACCTGGATCAGAGCAGCCTGTGCGCCCTTGCACCCCTGCACTCTCCCCAACCTCTTCACGAAATCCAGCCAGCGCTGACTGGGGAGGGGCCACTGGGGACTGTGCCTAACAGTGCATGCTTCTCACAGCCAGCGTTGAACGATTCTCACCGTAACCGATGCAGCTTGAGCGCCCTCACACCCCTGCAACCGCCTCCACCTCTTCTCTAACTCCAGCGCTGAGTGGGGGGGCAGTACTGGACCCACCTTCACTTCACATGGTTGTCCCTCCCCTCACTGGAAGATTTGTCCCTCCCCTCCCCTCACCTTGACTAGAGCAACCTGAGCGCCCTCACACCCCTGCAACCGCCTCCACCGCTTCTCAAACTCCAGCGCTGACTGGGGCGGGGCCACAGGAGCTGCTGCTGCTGCTGCTGCTGCTGCTGCTGCTGCTGCTGTTGCCGGTGGTGGTGCTGCTGCTGTTGCAGGTGTTGTTGCCACTTCTGGCACTGCTGGCTCTTCCTGCTGCTCCAGCCCCATCTCTACCGCGGCTGCTTTCGCCCGAAGAATCTCTGCCGCCCGCGCCACCGCCAGCTCATGCGCTGACGTCAGCTCGATGCCCCGCTGACTCAGCGGGGCGGTGGAGGCCGGTTGGGTGTGTGAGAGGGGAGAGGCGGAAGTGGGAGAGGTGGAGGGAGCAGACGTGGAAGCAGGGGGTGCTGGGCGAGAAGGAAGTTCCGTGATGGGTGAAGGCAGAGGTGTGCTGGTCGGCGGGGTAGGCTTAGAGACTGGCTCACAGGGTTCTGAGGAGACCCCATCTGTAGCACCAGCAGCGGCAGTGGCACCAGCAAGAGCAGTGCCAGTGGTAGTAGCAGTAGCAGTAAAGCCGTTAGCAGCACGGCCGGTCTGCATTAGAGAACTAGAGTCCTCCAAGTTTTCCCTCTCCACCTCTTGCGCCTCTTCCCCTTCCGCCTTGTGATCGATTTCCTGCTCCTGCTCCTTTGTCTTGTGTGCCCCCACCGTGTCATCCCCTGCCGTGTGATCCCCTGCCATGTGATCCCCTGCCATGTGATCCCCTGCCATGTGATCCCCTGCCATGTGATCCCCTGCCATGTGATCCCCTGCCATGTGATCCCCTGCCACGTGATCCCCTGCCATGTGATCCCCTGCTGTGTCATCCCTGTGCACACTCTCTACTCCTGGCCCGTGGGCCGCCTCCTCACCTGCCTTGGATGCTTCTTTCTTCCCCCCTCCTCCCGCTCTCCCTTCAGTCTCCGTCCGTTCCTCATCCACTCTGGAATTCTCTGGCCCCTTCGTCTCATCCTTCTCCTCCCTCTTCTCCATGCCCCTCGCCTTCCCCTCAGCAACAGCCGCTAATCCTTCTTGAACCTGCAAATCCGCACCTGTCAATTCTGCAATACGTTTACCCCCTGTAACCTCCTTCGCCCCTTTACTTCTTGTAACTTCTGCAATCTGTGCAACATCCGCAGTTCCTGTCAACCCTGTAACCGCTGTAGCCCCCGGCACTACAACTTGGCCGCTTGCCGTGCCTCCCTTGAGAGCCTTAGCAACGACTTCCACACCCTGGATGGTACCGGGAGGTTGAAAGAATGGGTGGCAGGGGGAAGGCGAAAATGTGAGTGTGTGGCCCATTGCCGTGACTCCTTTGAGAGAGCCTTCACAACAACTTGCACCCCCTGGATGATGTAAGAATTCAATTGTAGGGAAAGCTGGAAAGGGTAATCCATGTACATGTGATCCATATGTAGACAGTAGAGCGGTGGGTTGAGATGTATGGAGAGCGGTGGGTTGAGTTGAGAGGTGCGTGAGCGGATCGATTTGAGTTGTTATCGGACGAGATCCATGTGGGGCACACACACGAGGGGTGCTATCTGATAGCACACACACGAGGGGTGCTATCTGATAACACACACACGAGGGGTGCTATCTGATAGCACACACACGAGGGGTGCTATCTGATAGCACACACACGAGGGGTGCTATCTGATAACACACACACGAGGGGTGCTATCTGATAGCACACACACGAGGGGTGCTATCTGATAACACACACACGAGGGGTGCTATCTGATAACACACACACGAGGGGTGCTATCTGATAACACACACACGAGGGGTGCTATCTGATAGCACACACACGAGGGGTGCTATCTGATAGCACACACACGAGGGGTGCTATCTGATAGCACACACACGAGGGGTGCTATCTGATAGCACACACACGAGGGGTGCTATCTGATAGCACACACACGAGGGGTGCTATCTGATAGCACACACACGAGGGGTGCTATCTGATAGCACACACACGAGGGGTGCTATCTGATAGCACACACACGAGGGGTGCTATCTGATAGCACACACACGAGGGGTGCTATCTGATAACACACACACGAGGGGTGCTATCTGATAGCACACACACGAGGGGTGCTATCTGATAGCACACACACGAGGGGTGCTATCTGATAACACACACACGAGGGGTGCTATCTGATAACACACACACGAGGGGTGCTATCTGATAGCACACACACGAGGGGTGCTATCTGATAGCACACACACGAGGGGTGCTATCTGATAGCACACACACGAGGGGTGCTATCTGATAGCACACACACGAGGGGTGCTATCTGATAGCACACACACGAGGGGTGCTATCTGATAGCACACACACGAGGGGTGCTATCTGATAGCTTGATAGATGGACGAGATGGACGACATGGACGAGATCCATGTGGTCACACACACGAGGGGTAAGCAAGACGCATTCCATAACTTGAAGAGCGGGTGCTATCTGGATCCGCTCTATCTGAGCACCCGGGGGCCGGGTCTGTTCAAGTTCAAGCCACCAGGGGAACATACATAACCACGGTGTTACGACCGGGGGAATATGGCAGGAGCAGCCATAGCAGCCACATACTGGCCACTAAGCGCCAGTAAGCACGCCTTAGCACCAATTAGCATCACATAGTACCCACCTTCTTGGCCTGCTTCTCCAGGAGGGCGTTCGCCTCTGCTTGCTGCTTGAGCAGGTCCTTGTTGCCCGGATCAAGGGATAGGCCCTGATTGATGTCTGTGGTGGGCGTGGGACCAGAAGAGGGGAGAGAGAGAAAAGTGTGACGGTAGAGAGAGGAGAGTATTCGCCACTGCGTGCTGCTTTAGCAGGTCCTTGTTGCCGGGGTCAAGAGCTAGGCCCTGGGTGATGTATGTTGGGGGATTGAGGAATGGAGGAGGGGAGAAGAGTCGGGCATAGCCACGAGCGCAGTTCCTGTCTCTGCTGCTAGTCACGGCAACAGTGCGCATGCATAAGGGCATCACAACCCACCCACAGGTCGTCAATTGGCCGGTGGAGCTGCAGCCTGGCAGCGGCCCGCCTGGAGAACGCCTTCACGAACTCATCGTCTCAATCCACACTCATAGGTGCAGTAGCACAGGTGCCAGCCAGCCACATACCCCAACACCACAACCCACCTTGCAGGGCGTTTATGGGTCGATTCAGCTTCAGCCTGGCAGTAGCTCGCCTGGAGAACGCCTTCACGTACTCGTCGTCTTGATCCAAAGCTTCTGTTCAATCTGCCCACATACCACATCCCACGCCACAATCACCGTAGCCCACCTTGCAGGGCGTCAATTGGCCTGTTCAGTCGGAGCCTGGCAGTGGCTCTCCTGGAGAACGCCTTCACGTACTCGTCGTCTCGATCCAAAGCCTCCGTGCAGTCTGTCTCTGCCTCCTCGTACCTGATACAGTCAAACTCGATATGAGAACAACATTTAAAAGGGAAAGAATGCCAATCAACCTTTAAAGCTTCTGTGCAGTCTACTTCTACATCCTCATACCTGATACAGGCACACACAACACAGTATAACTACAACAATGCCAATCAACAGTCGAAGCTCTGTGCAGTCTGCCTCTGCATCCCCATACCCAATACACACACCCTCAAACCAAGAACGACCAAAACAGCAGCGGCATTAGACGGCCTTTAGACGGACACGTCTAATTGCTTGATCATTGGCATTGCATTCTGAAAATGACTCCCTAAACCCTGGCTCAGACCCCTAAACCTTGGCGCAGACCCCTAAACCCTGGCGCAGACCCCTAAACCCTGGCGCAGACCCCTAAACCCTGGCGCAGACCCCTAAACCCTGGCGCAGACCCCTAAACCCTGGCGCAGACCCCTAAACCCTGGCACAGACCCCTAAACCCTGGCGCAGACTCCTAAACCCTGGCGCAGACCCACCCTGGCGCAGACTCCTAAACCCTGGCGCAGATCCCTAAACCCTGGCGCAGAACCCTAAACCCTGGCTCGATCCCTAAACTCTGGCGCGATGCGTAAACCCTGGTGTAGGGTCAGAATCAATTCCTCTGTCCTCTCACTTGCCTCACCTGCCCAGCTCGGTTGGCCAAGGCCAAAGCAGGAGGATGGAGGGCGATGCTTTGATAGAGTAGCACGATCGTGCGTGGGCTTAAAGTGAAAGAGCCTTCCCCGCGGGCTTACAGTGAAAGAGCCTTCCCCGCGGGCTTACAGTGAAAGAGCCTTCCCCGCGGGCTTACAGTGAAAGAGCCTTCCCTGCGGGCTTACAGTGAAAGAGCCTTCCCTGCGGGCTTAAAGTGAAAGAGCCTTCCCTGCGGGCTTACAGTGAAAGAGCCTTCCCTGGGGGCTTACAGTGAAAGAGCCTTCCCTGCGGGCTTACAGTGAAAGAGCCTTCCCTGCGGGCTTACAGTGAAAGAGCCTTCCCTGCGGGCTTACAGTGAAAGAGCCTTCCCTGCGGGCTTATAGTGAAAGAGCCTTCCCTGCGGGCTTACAGTGAAAGAGCCTTCCCCGCGGGCTTACAGTGAAAGAGCCTTCCCCGCGGGCTTACAGTGAAAGAGCCTGACCTGATAACCTTCACCCCGCTCTCACTGGCCTTACCTGCCCAGCTCAAGTGCTGCCATTGCTTGGCTGGCAAAGGCCACAGGAGTGGGATTTAGGCGCTGATACCCTGCCCCCAAGGGTTTCGGGTTTAGCCACCCCCCTCCTCTGTCACGCCCAGCTTAATCGCAGCCATGGTTCAATTCGCAACGGCCACAGCAGTGGGACAGAGGCGCTGATACCCTGCCCCCAAGGGTTTACGGTTTAGCCACCCCCCTCCTCTGACACGCCCAGCTTAATCGCTGCCATGGTTCGATTCGCAACGGCTACAGCAGTGGGACAGAGGCGCTGATACCCTGCCCTCAAGGGTTTAGGGTTTAGCCACCCCCCTCCTCTGACACGCCCAGCTTAATCGCTGCCATGGTTCGATTCGCAACGGCCACAGCCGTGGGATGGAGAACGTATCCCTGGGAGTGTGGCAGGATAGGGCGTGGGTTTAGGGTGAAGATCCTGATACATTGATAAATTGATACATTGATAAATTGATACATTGATACCCCTCCCCCTTCTCCCCCTACTCTGACGCGCCCAGCTTAAGCGCGGCCGTGGCTCGATTGGCCAAGGCCACGGTGGTTGAAAGGCAGGGCGATGCTCTGGCAGGCCACATGGCTCGATTGGCAGGGCGATGCTCTTGCAGGCCATGTGGCTCGATTGGCAAAGGCCACGGTGGTTGAATAAAGGGTGATGCTCTGGGAGTAGCACACAGCAGGGTGTGGGCTTTAAGTGCAAAGCCTGAGACCCCTACCCTACCCCCCTCTTTCACTGGCCTTACCTTCTAAGCTTAAGCGCTGCCATGGCTCGGTTGGCGAAGGCCCAGCCGTGGGATGGAGGGCGATGCTTGGGTTTAAGGTGGAAAACCAAAAACCCTCCACCCCCCCCTCCCCCCTCCCCCCCCCCCCCCCCCACTTGCCTGACGTGCCTCACCTGCCTAGCTTAAGCGCTGCCATGGCTCGGTTGGCAAAGGCCACAGCCGTGGGATGAAGGGCGATGCTCTGTGAGTAGCACGATAGGGCGTCTTCAAACCGACCTTTCTTGAAATGCTCGTTGCCCTGATGATGACAGCACACACATGCACACAATGACACATGGATACATACACGCACACATGCACACAATACACATGGATACATGCACGCACACATGCACACAAGACACATGGATATATGCACGCACACATGCACACAATACACATGGATACATGCACGCACACATGCACACAATACACATGGATACATGCACGCACACAATACACATGGATACATGCACGCACACATGCACACAAGACACATGGATACATGCACGCACACATGCACACAACACATGCACATGGGTACAAAGAGCAAAATGAGCACAGCGTGAAACAGCCGTGCAGGGACACAAAACCACAATCACCCCCTCCTTGCCCCTTACCTCCCCACTCACCCTTTCCCAATTCCCTCCCACCTCAATCACCCCCCATTTCCCTCCAATCCCAATCACCCACTCAATTTCCCTTCTCTCCCCACTCACCCTTTCCTTCTCTGCTGCAGCTGCTGCTTCCACACCTTCCCGCCCTGCCCCCACACCCCCAATGTCGCTCCCAACCTCTTCTCTTCCAACATCTGCCGTGGCTGCCAGTCTGTGAATTAACTCAGCTGCTCCCTCTCCTCCCCCGACTTCCATTACTCCCTCCCTAACTTCCTTCCCGTCTTTGCTACGGCTTTCCCTTCCTCTCACGGCCCCTGCTGCTGCTGCTGCTGCTGCTTGCGCTGTTGGTTTCTTGCTGCTGCCACCCAGAAAGCCGACGTTCCAGCCTGACGCTGACGTGGACGGCTCGGGGTCGACCTGGCGGTGACGTGGACATGGGAGAAACGGGAAAAGGCTTGTCTTGTAAAAAGATTCTGTAACCCCGGGAAATGGTCCCAGGGGGAGCAAAATGGACCGCGGGGATGTGCTGCAGCGTTAGAAGAAACACATCCCCACCGTCGATTTTGCTCAGTGGATGGGGGGATGACGGATGCAAAGCAAGATCCCTTGAACAGAGCCCACTATGCATAATGCAACTCGATCATAAGCCTACCACACACCACCCCACGCCATCGCACACCACCTCACACCACCGTATACCACCCCAGACCAGAGCTCTGCACCCCCGGAACAGCCATGAGCACACCGGAACCCCCTTTAGAGCTCTGAAACCCCCTCCTTCTGCAACCACGAGCACACACCGGAGAGACGGGAGGAATCCAGTTTCGTCGAAAGTAGTCGATTGTGTGCCTGATCTGCTGCTCGCCTGCCGATGCTGCTGCTGATGTTGATACTGATGCTGCTGCTGATGGTACGAATGATGGTAGTGATGATGATGGTGATGGCGTTGCTGCTGCTGACGTGTCACTTGTGTTGCTGGGCATGGCCTTGGATTTCTTCTTAGCAGCTGCTTGTGTGCCGGCCTGACGACACCATGCATCCATGCATCCATACCTCCATGCATCCATGCATCACGCACCCATGCATCCATACCTCCATGCATCCATGCATCACGCACCCATGCATCCATACCTCCATGCATCCACGCATCACGCACATCCATGCATGCAACACACAACGCAACACGCATCACGTCCATGCACCAAACACAATGATCGGAACATGCACCAATCACAATGATCGGAACATGCACCAAACACAATGATCGGAACATGCACCAATCACAATGATCGGAACATGCACCAAACACAATGATCGGAACATGCACCAAACACAATTATGGGAACATGCACCAAGCACAATGATCGGAACATGCACCAAACACAATGATGGGAACATGCACCAATCACAATGATCGGAACATGCACCAATCACAATGATGGGAACATGCACCAAGCACAATGATCGGAACATGCACCAAACACAATGATGGGAACATGCACCAATCACAATGATCGGAACATGCACCAATCACAATGATGGGAACATGCACCAATCACAATGATCGGAACATGCACCAAACACAATTATGGGAACATGCACCAATCACAATGATCGGAACATGCACCAAACACAATGATCGGAACATGCACCAATCACAATGATCGGAACATGCACCAATCACAATGATGGGAACATGCACCAATCACAATGATCGGAACATGCACCAAACACAATGATGGGAACATGCACCAATCACAATGATCGGAACATGCACCAATCACAATGATGGGAACATGCACCAATCACAATGATCGGAACATGCACCAATCACAATGATCGGAACATGCACCAAACACAATTATGGGAACATGCACCAAACACAATGATCGGAACATGCACCAAACACAATTATGGGAACATGCACCAAGCACAATGATCGGAACATGCACCAAACACAATGATGGGAACATGCACCAATCACAATGATCGGAACATGCACCAATCACAATGATGGGAACATGCACCAATCACAATGATCGGAACATGCACCAAACACAATTATGGGAACATGCACCAATCACAATGATCGGAACATGCACCAAACACAATGATCGGAACATGCACCAATCACAATGATCGGAACATGCACCAAACACAATTATGGGAACATGCACCAAGCACAATGATCGGAACATGCACCAAACACAATGATGGGAACATGCACCAATCACAATGATCGGAACATGCACCAATCACAATGATGGGAACATGCACCAATCACAATGATCGGAACATGCACCAAACACAATGATGGGAACATGCACCAATCACAATGATCGGAACATGCACCAATCACAATGATGGGAACATGCACCAATCACAATGATCGGAACATGCACCAAACACAATGATGGGAACATGCACCAATCACAATGATCGGAACATGCACCAATCACAATGATCGGAACATGCACCAAACACAATGATCGGAACATGCACGCACACGGAATGGAGGGAGGAGGAACGCGACACCGCTTGTGCATGTGACATCACGTCGATTCTGGGCATTCGACGGCGGAGTATCAAGCCATTAGCTTCTGAACCGATGTTGCGTGACACTGTAACGAGGTGCCTTTTAAGTCGACTTTGAGGCGCCTCAAAAGGCACTGTAGCGAGGTGCCTTTTCAGTCGACTCAAGAGGCACCTCGCTCCCCTCTCGGGGCCTACCCCCAACTCCCTCGCCGCCCGAACCCGCCGCCTCTGCCAGCTGCCCAGTGCCCAGGTCGCCTACCCCGTACCTTGGATTTCCCACTGTCTTGAACCTTCTTCTTTCCCTTCCCGTCGCTCCTACCCCCAAATCCCTCGCCGTCCGGACCCGCCGCCTCTGCCAGCTGTCGAGATCGCGACCCGCTCGGGCCTTAACCCGCAGCTCGCGCACCCCACGCCTTGGATTCCCCAGTATCTTGAACCTTCTTCTTTCCCTTGCCGTCGATCCCCTCTCGGGCCCTACCCGCAGCTCGCCCACCCCATACCTTGGGTTTCCCAGTATCTTGAACCTGCGTTCCCGCACCGTCGCTCCCCTCTCGGGATCAACTCCCCGAATCAACCTTCCCCGAATCAACCTTCCCCGAATCAACCTTACCCGAGGTCGCCCACCCCATACCTTGGATTTCCCAGTGTCTTGAACCACCTTCTTTCCCTTCCCGTCGCTCCGACCCCCAACCCCCCCGCCGCCCGGACCCGCCGCCTCTGCCAGCTTCTGCCAGCTGTCGAGATCGCGAAGAAGATTCGCCATGGCGGCGCGACGGAGCTAGGAGGCTCTCCAGCCTTGAGCAGCGCGTCGGGGGGGACCCTGACCTGACGACGCTGTATAGTAGGACTCCGGAAGCGACGCGACTTGTAACGAGAATGATGGCTAAGTTAACTGTTTTTTTCAAGCAGCTGCGATTAGGGCGGGTCCAAGTAGTTCAATTGGGGGTTTTGGACATGTTTTTACGAACTCGGGTACAACTGAAAACGATCCCAAAATCGTTTCCCCCCCTAACCGCGTCTCCTATTGCGAATGAAATAGACGCTGGCGCCAACTGGGTGCGTCCCATAAAACAGTTTGCGTCAGAGGCCCCAAATCGTAGTTACCAAATGTCGCATCTCGCGAAACAGATGTTTCGTGCTTGGTTATGTGACAGGTGCGATTTGGCGTTGCGCCACGCGAGAGGTTCACGAGGTCGCCTTATTCTCGCCAAGCCCGGCTTGGCGAAACCCCAAAACGCCACAGGTGTCCACCGATACCAAAACGTATAGCTAACGTCACCGAATCGTAAACAATCTTGACTGGGGTTCAGGTACATTCACATGCGTCGAGCGTCCCGAGTTACTTCAATTTCGTGCACGTGTCCTCGCGAAATCTAAACGAGGTTAAAATCGGGTTATTATTCTCGAAATGAATAGAGTATGAACTATTTGGACCCGCCCTCAGTCGCTTCGGGAAGTACAAGCTCCTTCACTCTGTTCTCCGTAAAGAGCAATATCACCCAACTGAGCTCGCTCGTGTACTGCATGGCTTCCTTACCAGTTGGTGTAGGAAGCTGAATATTGTTTCTTTTCACACTGTAAGAAATTATCTTCTGTCGTGACACTGGCGACGTTTTCGCCGTGTTTTTTCGGGCATGTTCGCTATTGTTTCATAATTTTCAGGGGTTTTAACTGATTTTTACTATTGGCTTCCGAAAATTGCGAGTTGTCAGGAGAAGACGGGTGCACATAAATCCTCGGGCGGCTGGGTGATGGTCGTCAGTCAGCATAAGGATCCCCTGCTGACGTAGTTTCGTCGCCCGAATCTCACCATTCCCACCAAGTTGTAGTGTCGACTATGGGTAGTCCACACTTGGCAAAGGGGAGTGAACCTGTAATCTACAGTGTGTTGAGGGGTGTCCCCAAAATTTCAGGAGTTACTCTTGCATTGGAACTGAGGGTTTCACGTGGTGCACCAGAAGGAGTTTCCGACTTTTGCGGGTGTAAGATTCCGAGTGTCTCACCCTGGCACGTCGGAAGGCAGGAGGTGTCCAGCGGTCGTGCGGGGACTTCTTCAGTCCAACCGACTTTACCGTAATCCCCCGGATATAACACCCGCCGAAATTAAGCACCCCCTGGTGTTATATCCGGGGAGGGTGTTCTATTGAAGAATCCGCAATTATACACCCTCTTTTTGAGGGTTCCAGGAGAGCACCCCCCCCATTACATTCGAACCCTTCTACCCCTAACAATACCAGCAACAAATGCAGTTTTTTCATGCTATTTCATGCTGATTATGACCAGGACGCAAAAGTTGAAATTTTCCGAGGCACTTGACGAGGTTCTCTGGTACTGAAAACGACAAAGTGAAACAAATCTGTCAACTTATACATATTATCTATGTAGAAGTTATAGGCTAGACTGAGGTATGCTTCTAGTGAGTACAACCAACTAGTATTTGTTCTAGGTTTCCACCTCTAGTAATCATTCGTTTCTACGTTAACATGGTATCACGCTTAGGTTAGGATCCCCCCGCCTACCGCTTCCGCCCGTCGCGCCTCCTAGGCCCCGTCGCGCCCCCTAGGCCCCGTCGCGCCCACCCTGGGCCCCGTCGCGCTCGTTAGGCCCCGTCGCGCCCCCCCTGGGCCCCGTCGTGCCCGCTGGGTCCCGTCGCGACCCCTAGGCCCTAACGCGCCCCCGCTGGGCCCCGTTGCGCCTCCTAGGCCCCGTCGCGCCCCCCATGGGCCCCGTCGAGCCCGCTGAGCCCCGTCGTGCCTCCTAGGCATCGTCGCGCCTCCTAAGCCCCGTCGCGTCCCCCCCCTCTGGGCCCCGTCGCGCCCGTTCGGCCCCGTCGCGCCCCTCCTAGGCCCCGTCGCGCCCGCTGGGCCCCTTCGCGCTTCCTAGGCCCCGTCGCGCCTGCTAGGCCCCGTCGCGCCCCCCCTGGGCCCCGTCGCGCCCGTTAGGCCCCGTCGCGGCCCCCCTGGGCCCCGTCGTGCCCGCTGGTCCCCGTCGCGCCTCCTCGGCCCCGTCGCGCCCCCCCTGGGCCCCGTCGTGCCCGCTGGGCCCCGTCGCGCCCCTTAGGCCCCGTCGCGCCCGCTGGCCCCTGTCGCGCCTGCTGTTAGCGCTCGCCCGCCTGGCCTCCTCCTAGTGCCGCTCGGCCTCCTCCTAGTGCCGCCCGGCCTCCTCCTAGTGCCGCCCGGCCCCTTCCTAGCGCCGCCCGGCCTCTCCTCAGCGCTGCCCGGCCCCTCCTCGTGCCCGACCGGCCCCAGCAGCACCAGCCTGGCCCCTCCCAGCACCAGCCCGGCCCCAGAGCACCTGCCCGCCTCCCCTGCTCGGCCTGCCGTGTCCTCTCGGGCCCTGTGTCTTCTGCTTGCCTGCGCTGGGACGCCTAGCTGCTGCCCTACTGGAGAGTGCTACCGCCGTGTCCCCGCGCCGCTGTGCTCCTGTGCCGCTGAGGAGCTGTGCTGCTGTGCCGCTGTGTCGCTGAGGAGCTGTGCCGCTGACCCTGCACGATGGCTGACTTTGTGCTCCGCCTGGACGCTGAGGGCCACGCGGTTGACTTCGCCGCCTGGCTCTCCGATCTTCGCCGCCAGCTTACAGGTCAGCGCCAGGATGGCCACTCTCTGGTTGTCCATGCTGATGGCTTGCTCCCCCGTCCCCCTGCACCTACTCCCCTCCCTGCTGACCCCTCCTCTGATGACCGTGAGGCTTTCTCTACTGCTGCGCTGGCCTGTGCGATCTGGGACTCACGCGATGCAGTAGCTCAGGTTGCTATTAGTCACGCCCTCCCTGTGTCTGAGCGCTCGCGTTTTGCTACTGTTGAAACGGCCAAAGCTTATTTAGACGTCGTTATTGCTCGCTATTCCACCCCTGCCTCCGCTTCTGCTGGCCGCTTGCTCTTTCCGATGCTGTTCCCAGACCTGGCTGCCTTCCCTACTGTCGCAGATTTTGCCACTCATTTGCGTGCCCTAGAGACTCGCTATCGCACTGCCAGCACTGCTGCCCAGCTCACTGCGCTCCCCCCTCCTTTCTGCATGACGCTCTATTTTATCGCTATGCGCCTGCCAGACCGCCTCGCTAGTGCTCGCGACCACTTTCTTAGCCAGCACCCGGGTGACCTCACCCTGACCGCCTTTGTCGACACCCTCACTGAGATCGAGACTCGCCAGCGCACTATCGCTCAGTCGAGCGGTGCGCCGCCAGTCTCTATCTTTCACGGCTGTGCCCCATCCTAGTGCACGTTCACTGACGTTTCGGCTGCGGTCGCCACGGCGACCCCTCTTACCGAGACGGCTGCTGCTGTCCACCCGCAGCAGCGCTCGCGTCGCGGTGGCCGTGGCCGCCAGGGAGGTAGGGGTGGTGACGCAGGTGGTAGTGGTCGTGGTGGTGGTGACGGTAGTCCGCCTGAGGGGACTACCACCGGTGGGCAGGAGCAGCAGTCCCAGCAGCAGCAGGACCAGCCCCAGCCGCAGCCGCCGTCCCAGCAGCACCCGCCGCAGCCGTGGGCTCGTCTCCCGCCTGGTTGGCCCGGCACCTCCGGAGGCGGTGGCCGTGGTGGCGGCCCGCGCAGCTTGGCGTCTACCAGCGGCTCCAGTGCTGTGACCTGCCAGTACCAGCTTCAGACCAGGCCTCTCCGCGGCACTCTGTGCCGCCGCCCGCACCCGACCGCCCGCTGTTTCCGCCGCCTCGACGATCTTTTTCGTCGTCGCTTTGGCCCGGCCCCGGACCTCCCTGACTGGCACAGCCTGCTCCGCCAGGGCGTGCCGATCTTTGAGTTAGACATGGATCAGATAGGTGCTGCTTTGCATGCTTTGTATGCTGACGCTTCTAGTGTTGATGGATCTTACTACCCTGTGTACTCTAGTTTAGGTGTTTCACCCTTGTGTAGCTTAGCTTCCCCTGCTGCGACAGGCGTAGGACTGCCTAGGTTGCCTAGTCTAGTCGCTGCACCGGCTCCGTCCCCGGCCCCCGCCACTGCGTCGCTGTCCTTCACTCTCGACTCTGGTGCTTCTGCCTGCTTCTTCCGCGACCGTTCCACGCTCACGCCGCTTGCTGCACCTGCTGTTGTCTCTCTCGCTGACCCCTCTGCGGGTCCGGTCGTCGCGCGCAGTTCTACGTCCCTTCCCTGTCCGGCAGTTCCCTCGGGCTCCCTTACTGGCCTCCACGTTCCCTCGTTCTCCAGGAACCTGGTTGGTGTCGGCTGTCTCCAGGACCTCGGCGTCACCACCACGTTCCCCGGGCACGAGCGGTTCGCTGTCTGTTCTGAGGCTGTCTCAGGTTCCCCCCTTGCGACGTTCCCCCGGGACCCGGTGTCCGGTCTGTTTACCCTACACACCGCTTCCCCCCCGGTTGGTGCGTCCTCCCAGGTCGCTGCAGCTTGCTCGTGTCGGTCCCTCACTCACCCCTCCCTTCTCTGGCACCACCGCTTAGGTCACCCTGCTCTCCCGCGTCTGCGTCACATGTCCCAGCACGGTCTTGTCTTAGGTCTCCCCGCGTCGCTCCCTGCCCTTCCTCCCTCGACTGCGCCACCGTGCACGCCTTGCGTCGAGGGTCGGCTCCGCCGTGCTCCTCACTCCTCCTCGCTGCGTCCTGCTACTGCCCCCCTTCAGACCCTGCACTTGGACGTTTGGGGCCCTGCCCCCGTCCCCGGACCGCGCGGTGAGCGCTACTTCCTTGTGCTTGTCGACGACTACACGCGCTACACCACGGTGTTTCCCCTGGAGCGGAAGGCCGACGTGCCCGACGTTCTTCTCCCGTGGGTTGTGGCTGCGCGTCTCCACCGCGGTCTCCCCGTGTTGTGTCTCCACTCCGACCGTGGCGGCGAGTTCGCCTCTGGTCGGCTTGGACAGTTCTGTCGTGCGGAGGGCATCACCCAGTCGTACACGTTGCCGGACTCGCCACAGCAGAATGGGGTTGCTGAGCGCCGCATCGGCTTGGTCATGGAGGTCGCCCGTACCTCCATGATCCATGCCGATGCCCCCCATTTTCTGTGGCCGTTCGCTGTTCGCTA